GGCCTGGCCCGGAAGCCCCCTCCGCCAGGAGCTGCCCCCCGCTGAGCCTCCAGCTGTGTGCACAGCCTGGGCCTGTGTGTGTGAACTTGGACCCAACTCACCTGCTGGGGCCTCCGTTCCCTCACTGGGACATGGCCCTCGACCACTCACCAAGACTCTAGCTTCCGCCCCCGTCCCTCCCCCGCCCCCAGTGGTCACTGCGCGGCAGGGTCTGGCCCACGGCAGCCCCGGCAGTGGGAACTGTCCTCTGCGAGGGGCGCGGGCGCTACCTGAGGTGAAGAGCTTGGTCCTGGGGTTGTAGAAGGAGGAGAAGCTGGAGTACACCACGGGGACGATGGGCACCTGTGCGCAGGGAGACAAGCATCCTGAGAGGGGCCGATCCCCTTTCCCACGGGCGAGCTCCCGGGGGGCCCGCCTTACCACCTCGCCCGGGGGTGCCCACGGCACCCATGGCTGCCAGGCACGCACTCTGTCCCGCCTCAGCCCTGCCACACGCTGAACCCCAGGCCATAAACTCATTCTGTACTCCTTCGCCCACGTCGCCGCCTCCGGGAAGCCTTCCTAGGTTGGCACATGTCCACCTGATTCAGATCTGTGTCCCCCACTGGGTCCTAAGATTTCCTAGGGGGACAGGGCCCTGATCACCCTCCCCAACTTCCCCCGCATCCCAGGAAGGCGGGGGGGGGGCAGCACCAGCAGGGGAGGGTGCAGGGCCGGCTGGTGCTCCTGGAAACCACCAGGATCAAGTCCACCGGTGCCTGCAGTGTTGGAAATGGTGCCTGGGCTAATCATTAACCCTGCGGTTGGGGAGCCCTCACCTCTCCCCGGGCACTGGGCACCGGCGGAGGTCTGGGGGGCAGGCTGGGAACCCAGGGAGCCACCGTCTAGCAGGCCCCCGAGGGGAGGTGGAGGGCGATGACAGGAAATGATGCCCGTCCCCCTGGCCGAGGCTGTGGCTGCCCCTGTCCCAGCACCACCACCTCCTTTCCCACAACCCCTCCCCCATGCCACCAGCTCAGGGAAGTGACATCAGCCGCAGGCACCTGGCAGGGTGCCCTCCACCTCCCGGCTCGGCTCGGGGGCCACAGGCCCAGCGGGTGGGAGAGCCTCGCTCGGACGGAGCTGGGATCACAGTCTAGGCTCGGCCCCCAGCCTGGGGCTCCGCCACCCACCTGCCAGTGTCTGCACCCCCATGGCATTAGCCGGCGGGAGGGGGGTTGGCAGGAAAGGGGGGCTGGCAGGAAAGGGGGTGGCTTTGCTCAGGGCCAGCAATAGGGGGCGCGAGAGGCCACCCATCACGGGTGGAAGATAGACAAGCCGCCACCCACACCCTGACCCTGAAAATGTTTCCCCACATGAACCCCAGCACAGGGCGGGGTGGGGCCTCACCCCCCAGGAGACCCAGCCCCGATCCAGGGCACCTCTGGGACAAACCGCACCTCCCAGAAAAGGACCCCCCGCATCAGGGCAGGGCCCAGGGGTGGAGGGTGGCGAGGCCCTGCCACCGGCCCAGGAGGAGGGTCCCCGAGCGC